CTGGTATCAGTAACATAACATTCAACAAAGGTAAAAAAGTCACAATCTTATCAAAGGCGCGCTTCACAGACGATACATCTTCATAATGCTGCTGCAAACAGATATAAGATCTCTTTTAATTTTGGCATTAAAAAAAACACATATCATTTGCATATGTCTAGATTTCATTTCTAAAAATACAACTTCATTTTTATCAAAAAATATTACCAAAACCTAATTTGAAAAACCGTAAAACTCTAAGAATAACTAAAAACAATGCGATAAAAATTTGGAAAGAACCAAAAAATTGCTAAAGTGAGTTGAGAAACTTACCGGAACAATCATTATTTCCAGAATTTCTCGGACTTGTTCGCGCACAGTGATTGTTTCATCTTTTGAGTTCAAATATTTCCTCAGAACAACCAAACTATCAGCATCTAAATATACTTCTACAGTCCGATCAACGCGCTTTGTCTGTAAAATAAGGAATCATACTAAAACGATCTCTCGAAAAAATGCTGTAATCTTGTAATAACTTCAACTGATGAAATATAACATAATATATTTTTCTTTTCAAGCAGATTTCGTTAATATATTTCTTTTCAAGTAGATTTGTCATCTCATTATCATTCCTGAAATAATGACGATTGTTTATTGTTCAGAATTACAGCTAAGGCAAAAAGTGAAATCCATTCGTCCAAACAAGTGATTCGGCACAAAAGGAAAACCAAAATCTAAGAGATTCATCAAAATCATTCTACCTTATCAATGTCAACATCCATACGATGTAAGAAATTCCGTACAATATGTTTCAACGTCGAATCATGAACATAATGACTTTCGGTATGATCTCCAACTGAAAATTCTGAACAGTTTTTTGGAAGATCATTAAAATTAAAAGTCATTAAAAAAAGTGCAAAAATCCCCTAAAACTTTGCTGGTCATCAAAGATTAGTTCCTGAACAGATTTTAGTAGATCAAAATTTCAATAACAAAGTAAAAAGAAAGTTAATTCGTGAAGACCAATCGAATTCATAATGCGATAATCTTGCATAGAATGTGACGATAATTTAGAGTAACAAAGTTGGGTAAGTCGATTTTCGATATTGCTCTTCATAATACAAGGTTCAAGGTGCAACTCTGATCAAAAAAAATGTTTTGGTCCTTTGTTAAAAGAACAAAAAAGGTGTCCTTAAAATGCATAAGTTTAAGCTTGAGAAACCAATCACATCCAGTTATGCTAATTAGAGTAATAATTTTTAAAGCAGAAGAAAATCAATTTAAAAGCCTTTTCTGGGAGGGAAGGAAAGCTCGAAAGTAGATTTTCAGACCTTTCCTGCTCACTGCTAACCAGGTAATGACAAGCTTACATACTTTGCTACCTTTCAAACATTTCTTTAGATTCGCTTGACAAACTGCCAACTGATCGAGAGTGTTTCTGGTGCAAAATGATGATGACGCAAAAGGATCATTCGGATCAAGCCAATTTTCTCGATCAACGTGTAAATCCAAATCAATATTTTCACCGCTAGAACCAAAAAGCAGATCCAAATATAGCATAATCAGTAGCATGATTATATTATTGTCTGAAAAATGGAAATTACATGAGCAGGACGCCTCTCTGCCGTCCTTGGATAACTAAATAGAGCGTATGTAGTCGAAAAAGTAAGGAGAAATATCAGTGCTTGATCGGATCCAGAAGGACACGACGACGCTTACACCGGACCTCCATCTTCCCCCAAAACCTGTTTCGCCTCCAGAAAGACACTACTACTGCAGCCCTCTATCTAATAAGCGGTGATGATAATGGACGCGGGATTACTGCTTTCAGATGTAATTTATGATAACAGCAATACTGATATCAATCACATCAAGTGGCTGAACATGAGAGGCAACGAGATCCAGGAATTGTAGACCAAGAAATCTGGATGATAACGACGGCTAGAAGTGTATACACGGGAAGAGTTAAGGTCATGACTGTTACTGTGGAGCTCCCTGGAAGGTCATGTCAGCAACTGTACCACTACAATTTACTACAGGTCTACTAAGATTGTTCGACTTTATTGTGGGGAGGACGGAGAAGAGATGAGCGGTCATTTGATATTTCGAGATGCAGACATTTGCAGAATGTTCGCTATTTCGAAATAAGTCTCCTAAAGTGGTCCGAAGATGATAGTGCGTTATGCTTACGTGGAATCAATTTACGCAGTGAAAAACAATTGGTAAAGCAAGTAATGAACGTACTTTCAACAGTAATGGTTCTTAATGTCAAGTCCAGAAATGAGTGAAGTGGAACGATCTGATGCGACTGCTTACTAATCAGTCGCTGAAGTGAAGATCCTGGGCCGATCTTTTTTCGTTGTAAAAGGATTTTTTTCGAAATTTTCTTTACGGCGTTGTTTCTGAATCGCTTGGATGAAACAGCCAAGAAGCGGTCTTGATTAGTACCAATTCGAATTTTCTGCGTAGGGTCATCTCAGTTTCTAGAATAGGGTGCCCCTAAAGATTCTCGAATCATCCTAGACGCTTCAATAGCATTTGTTAAAAACCACAATCATTTCCTTATCGCGCTTCTCAGTGCTACTTGCATTCTCATGACGATGCTTCCCTAGCTCTTCAGTAGTAATGAAAAGGAAACTTTTTCAATTTTCTCATACGTATCATTTTTCCAATGTGACACGGTTGAGAGAGAGGAGCGGTCTGCAGGATGTTTCATGAGGGAGCGGAAATTGATCATTTTCTCTGTAACTGTTTGCTTTGTCTTGCTTCAGTTTCATGCCACCTCTGATCAAACTGATTTCTTCAATTTCAAATATTGCTGTATCCTACCATCCGTTGCTTTTGTTAATGCGTTCATTTTGTGTTGATGAATACTGATTTATCATTTAGTTAATGATCTTAAGCTATTTGTAACTGAACTTCTTTTAAACTAAGTCTTCCGTACTTTCTGAATGTAAATGAAAGCTCCCCATTGATAGCTCTGGAATTGCTTAAATGCTTTCCAAGCTGCCATTGCTATTGCTGGATGAGTGCCGTACGTGTTACTGCAGTAAAGCTGCTGATCGTAGTACTCGTGCAGTGCGAGAGTTCTGAACATTCAAAAAATGCTTTCTGCGGCATGGACGAAGTTAGGAGTAGTTTATATTTCTAAAAGTTGCTTAATATTGCTGATCTCAGGCTTCAGCAGCTTTCGCAGTTTCACGTCGGCCCATTTCTGTAGTGTACTAAATTTAAACTTTCAAATTCAAAAAAAAAATTTCAATTCTAAATTTAAAAAATATTTTGATTTCAAAATCTGATTAAAAAAAATTAATTTTGGATTAAAAAAAGTTTTAATTTCAAAATTTGAACTTCAAATCTAAATTTAAACAGATCGATATGTAGCATCCGGAAAATTTTGGAATAAGTTAAATTGCAAGCATCAACGTAGGTGCGATGAAATAATGAAATAGAGGTGACTACTTGAACCAAACAACAAATTTCATGCAGAATATGTTTCCCGAATATATTTCACCAAACAGAGCATACTTTATGTCACGTTGCATAATGTGGAATATATTTTGTGTCATGAAAATGGATAGAAAAAAGCTTAATGATAAAGCCTTCTATCACGGGTACTGTATCGGATTAATGGCAAAAATATCTTTTAATGCCAAAAAATTCCACTTCATTTACTTTTTAAAAAATAGACATCGATACAGTTGTTAGACACTTGGTAAGCATCATATTTCTTTGTTTATTATTTGCTCTTGTTAAAAAATAGTTTTTTTTTTTTATTGTAAAGTCGTTATGGAGTGCGGTATTTAACCTTTCTGGTCAAAATTATGTATGAATGACACATTGTAGTTCGCATGAAGACAAAAAACTATTAGCTTTATGCATTATTATTCCTACGACATCTACAGCAGTGTATTCGGATGAGGCATGTTATGCAAACCAGTAAAAAGACACCGAAAACAGCAAGGCAGATGACTGTGGCCATGATTGTGGTAAAACCTGTCAAAAAACGGTCTTCGGACGGCGCATTGCTCCATTCATCCTTTTCCTGAAAATGATTTAAATCTTTCCAAGAGATTTTGTTAATGCAAAATGAAATGATTGAGAAAAAAGCTGTTTAGTTGGAGCATTGTGGATGTATATACCATTCCTCGAGGCAGCATGAAATAATTCAAACATAGAACTCTTATCCAACTAAATTTTCCAACAAAATTGTACTTCTCCCCCCTTTTTAATAGGTTTTTGTTGGAATTAATTACAAAATAATAGATTCTATTTTTTATAGCGCCTCATCCCTTTAATATTCTGACGAATTATTTACTAGGAATATGCTTTATTTCACGATTTTAGCATACATCAAATCAGACAAAAACAATTTGCTTATATTTTATGTGCCGAGAACTTAGATTTCAGAATAACATAATTATATAATTTTCTACCAAAGTGTAGGAGCAGTTCTTGTCGAACAAATAATACTAATCTTTTTGAGTATTTTGAAACAAACTGTTATCATTCATTTATCTTAATAATAAAATCTTTAAACTTAATTATTAAATATTTAGCAGCACTTCATGCGTTTTTTAAAATTGAGGAAAAATTTTCTATGGTTGCGCAAATTGTCGTTACTAAATATTGAAAAGGTAGAATTTCTCCCCTTCCCAAATTTTTGTAATGTCAACAGTAGCGAGAATGACAAAGTTACTTGTTTTATTTATCAGAGATGAGAAAATCTGAATTCCACTCGAATAAAAAAACATCATGCTTTAATTCATTGGGAAGAGTGTGGAATTTTTCAAACTTTTCCTTTAGTTCCTTATTTACTTCAGTAGGAATATTTATTTCAACTATTAAATATTTTTTGGATGCCATGAATACGGTAACTGGTGATTGCTTGTCAACTAGCTCCAGCTTGGCATCATCCATTACGATTTTCAAATGGCGGCCGTACTTTGTCACTGTAAGCGAGTATTGCATCTATCTACAAGATGTTGAGCGATTCTCAACACATGAAATGAGATATCTCTGATTTGGAATGAATACAACTGCTCATGAACACGTGAGTCTGACGAGGTATTTTATAATTAAACCTCTTCCTGATCTTGATTTCTGCTATCCGAAATTTCTGGTTGCGCGCTATATTGCAATCAGATATTTGCAAAAATAAATAAAAAAAGCATACCTTGACAGGGCAGAGCCATCGTTGCATCATCAGATCACTAATATGCTTCATGGAGCAGGGTACATGACACTGTGCTTGACATAAATGCTCTGTGTCAAAGGTGTGTATCATGTTTTGTGGGTAATGCTGATACGCAGACCTTCGGATAAATTCGTTATATCCCATCAATAAGTAGTGTGATACAGGTGTTGAGTCCAGAATGGTTCCGGGAATAAACTCTGCAGCTTCATTAATTCATTAACAATGTTATTAGTATAAACATTTGGGCAGACATCCAACGCACATTGATGCTATTAGTTTCTCATAGTAATTAACATTATTTTTATTGGATCAGTTTTCCTTCAAAACTTAAAGGTATAAACCACATTGAGCAATGATGTTTTGCTAACTTGAAAATTCCAGTTTCAAATCTGAAAATAAGATTCATCAGAGGAGAAAACTGCAAAAAACAACATAAAATTTGAGCTATCAAACGTTTATGGTCACTAAACGACAATTTCGCTAATGGTACACAAAACTTGGAAAAACCTGCCTTCTGTCATGTGTCGACACCACTTAGATCATTTTACACCACTTCAAGTAATCCGAGTTTTATCGCTTGATGATAGTTCGGTTAAAACGAAATCTTTGCTAGATTTCTAAAAAATATTTCCCTTTTGAAAATTAAAAATGAATTTTATCTTACAATTATCTTTTCTCTTATAAAAAATACTTAAATTTCCTCCTATAGCTTTTTTCAGATGGTCATGATATTCTAACAGATACAAAAAATAAAGCAAAATTAGGATTGGTTGGTCTCTCCAATATCGCTATCCATAATGGTAATCGTTAATGTTGCGGCTTCAAATAACCTTGATTAATAGGACTTCTTGGGAGTTATCCACGACGCGAATGGAATCATTCTTAGTGAAAGTGAATGACAAGGTGCCAGTCCCAACAAAAATCATTATCAACAGAATACATATTTGAAATATTTTAAATGTTAAAGTATCGATCGATTAAGAGGACATATTCTTAAGATCCTGATTTAAGGTATCGCGCATAAAGAAGGAAAGACTTGCAGCCTGCTCTAATCACACTAACAGGTTTTTAAAAATATTATATACTAAAACACAGTGTGATTCATTCAAACGAAACTTAAAGTAACTGAGAACATAAAAAAATCATTGAACACTGAACATTGAAAACCACTGAACATTAAAAAATCACCAAGCAATAGATTTAATTAGTTAGAAAATGGAACATTCGGTGGTTTTTACCGGGAGAGGAAATAAAGTAGAAAGTGTTTTAAAATGAAAAGGAGACCGATAACAGCTAGTGTGCAAAAAACTTCAGAATTTTGCATTTACTTCAACAACCGATACGGTCGCTTTGCCATATTGCTATTATGCTCTACTAGAAAGCCACATTAAGTTGGAAGGTTTTATATTTGAAACCAGGAATTAATTCAGTATGACAATCTCGAAATCCATCCAAGCAATAGGACGTACTGAAGTAGAAATGAAATAGACATAATGAAAGGTAAACAATAGATTGAGATGAAGAGGAAATAGGCTCTCTGCTAACATTGCCAATTACAAATTCAGAGAGCAAAATGCATCTTAAAAGTAGGAATGCATTTATTGCAATGAAGAAACGACCGGTCGAACCAATGAGGCGCTACTTGGCTCCAATGGCCATAGTCTTATTTAATTTCCTTTTTTATATATGGAGTCATAGTATGTTATACTTTCAATAGTTTATATAAAAATATAACAGATTTTTAAGATTAATAGTCAAATAAAAAAAAAAAGTAACAGAAAAGAGCAAAATTTGAATGACCTATTTCTCCAAAGAAACCTAGAAGATTGAACTCTGAAGTGTATTCAAGCCAGAAACTAACTAAAAAGAGAAAGCAAATATATCCGATATTCTGTAGAACAGAAAATCGCAGGTTTTATAACAAATATTTGTTCATTCATTTATGAGTTTATAAGCAAAAAGATGTTTTGGGCAAGAAGAAAGCCAGCTGTAATTTGCATTTTCTTTTAGGCATTGTGTATTTCTTGAGGTTTTAAAAGTTTCGAGAGAGGATTCGAAGGGCAAACCAAAGAAGAAAGTGACAGATACACTTTGTAAGTGTTTCAAACTTTGTAAGATTTGAAAAGACTTCCCTTGGCATTACTAATATTACGTATTCTTGTAGTAGTGTACGTTTGGTGATCATATAAGAGATAAAGAGATGAAAAGTTAGTGCGTGGAGATAAGTTGTCAAGAATAGTTTGATTTCATTATCATAAGGTATTAACTTACCAGAGAGAGGGTATGAGAGTTCATATATGAAACGCCGGATGAAATAATTTTCACTTTAACTTATATTTATGGATAAAAAAATTGGCAGAGAAAATGTATTTGGCTATAAAATCCCATTCTGTGATAAGTTTAATGCCAGAAACGAAGTTCTCAAGTTATTTAGTAGTACCACTTGATGGAGTAGGAAAAAATGATAGCAAATAACAACAATATAGATAACTATCACCAGAACATTGCAACTATCTACTCTACTATTTTTAATAATGACGCAATAGCACACCAAATGCAGCTGCTATAGGTATCCCGAAAAAGTCAAACTTCTTGATTTATTCAATTCAATGGTTAAAATATCAATACTTTAAGTCCCTCTTTTAGCCCAGTAATCCAGTAGTGACAACTAGACAACTTTACCTAAAGCTTTCAGAATGAGAATTTAGTTTGTTCCAACACTGATACTATTCCCTTACCGTAATGTCATACTTGGATTAAATCAAAGAAATCCATGACATAATAAAGCTATCATTTTTTATCACATGCAGGAACGAGGAATCTTGAATTATCATTATATAAGGATGTATATTTCATCGATAATATATTTTCGTTATTGAAAATGGGTATGAATACTTAAATCCATAAAATGCCCTAAGGATAAGAACGCTGTTCTTTTTCATGGCTAATATTATAATGATGATAAAATAAAAGATGTTTGTGTTGAGCGAAACAACGAGAGAGGGAATAATGTCAAGGGATGTGGCAACAGAAGAAGTTTAGTTACGTTAATGGGAAGTTCACTATTAATAAATAATTATTACTGATACACTTCCAAATGCAGCCCTCTTTGCATGCCAATTATTTGATGGAAAAAAATTCCACGGAAGAGCTACTCAGGAACAATCGATACTTTTCTCCTAACTCAATCATTAATCGTTGGGTTCGGATGGCATAAGCTTGATAGTGTTGAAACATTAGAACAAACTTCCAGAGAACTTGAGAAGACATTTTGCAATTTGTTGCTTCGTTTCAAGAAGGATAAACATGGAATTTCGATGAGTGGTTGGCAGTTGCAAATTGGGCATTTGGGCTGGAGATCATTGCAATTGTTGTATTGATATTTGTAAAAGTTGATTTGGTGGTATTATGGTAGAATAGAGCTTCCTTTCTCCCACCCTCTCTCTCTCTCTCTCCCTCTCTCTCTTCCCCTTCTCTCTCTCTTAAGTATTTCTTCAGCAGAGGGAAAATTTCTTCTATATATTACTGGAAATATTTGTTGAGAAGTGCACAACTGGCACTGGAAGAGGATTCATTAAGGTATTTTTTCAAGAGTTCTTCCATTTAAGAGAAGGAATAGTTTTCACTCTTCTCTATATTCTATCTTTGAGAATTATACGTTTGTCTCTAGTGGAGGCCTCTTTTTTTAGGGTCTATTTATCAAATGTATAATGAGGAGAGATTGTGTTGAAAAGCAACCCTAAGGGAATTCTAATATGGGATGAAAGCATATTACGTCCTTTCGTCCCTTTTCTAACATGAAATTATGGCGAATAATATGAACACTTCCAAAAGGGAATTTTTGGTAGGCCCGTTCTTCTCCATTTCCTTTCCCTATTGACCATCGATAAATTCATTCAAAGAAAAGAAGAAAATTCATATCAAAATTTACAACATACTTCCTTTCTTTCATTACTATGGCATGTTTGCCATTTACCTCTTTCTTTAAATTGAACGCACCAATCAACTCTTCGTTTTTGTAACAAATAAATCAATAACGATGATCTTTTACTTCATCATCGTTGACAGATACCTCACTGACGGTTCGAGTATCACGGTCCAGTATGTCGAATTGCAACGAAAAATATGTTCTTAATTACTACAGAAACTACCTAACCATCTCGCCAAGCTGAATCTAACTGCATTGATCTCAAACAAGGAGCTGCCTACTGATAGATAACTCTTTTTTTGAAGTATTAGAACTGAGACAATGCATATTTCAAGAATGATTTGCGAACCCTCAAATGAAAATAGTCCATAAAACTCAACTTTCCGTTACTGTATGTGAAGGCTGAAACTTCTAAGAACTGCTGAAAACGTCAAAGACTTGGTCGAGTGGGAATTCTGAAGCCTTCTCAGCCTAGGAACGAAACATGAGCTTTTACTATTGCAGGAAAATTCAACACTGAGTGATCATGACCAAAAAGATGGTAGTGGAGTGTTTGTGAAAGTAAGGAAGGAAAGTCTCGCCTTGTTATCGATAGAAGATGGTTTTCCAAATCCAATACTCGTCGTTGTTACATTCGCAATTCTTGACAGAATCATGCGTATACAGTCGTTAGTTTGTATTTAAGGCTAATGAGGAATTAGAACAAGGAGATTTCTGTGTCTATAGCCAATCTAAAGATCAACTAATGACAGATCAGTGAATGCCATCTTCAAGCAACGCTTTGAAGTAGATCTTGTTTGAGATGAAGTAGGGGAAGAAATGTTTGTAGATGTGGCGGGAGAGCGAAACTCTTATATTATTGGCAAACACAAAAGGGAAACATAAAAACAATGGATGTAATAGCATCAAATGGACGATTGCAAACCAAAATTGTAAGCATAATCGATGTTTTGATGTTCTCTTCATGTTTAACTTCGTTTGATGTTTAACTCCCGCCGTCTTTGACTTGCATTTTGAAGAATTAAAACACAAATCAAAACAACAAGTCAATGAGGATTAACAAGCAAGTGACTGAAAGGATGATTGTTAAAAAGATTGGATGGATTACAATCATTTACAACGATGGAAATTATGCGCTGATTCACCGCAATACCTTTATTATAACAATCATAACTGCAAATATCTGAAGAACTGGTTGAGAAAAAAAATTGATTTACAAAAAATTACTAATAGAGAATTGAACTTACAATTGTTTGGCGAAATACACAAAGGAAGGAAGGAAGAAAGTGATACAACTTGAAATGCCATAAGAAGCCATTGAGGAGTAGGAATCGAACTGAAAGAAGTGGGAGATTATGTACGCCATCGAGCTAACAACTAATATCAAAACATAACATATAAAGTCCTTGTATCACATTACATCTAGCTTGACTTATAGCAAGGCTCTAATTATGGAAAATAAGTCAAGATCTCTACTAGTATTGACTATTTAGGTCAGATGTGTACATCGTCAAATGAAGAAAATTCATGAAAAGATACTCTTCTGCTTATGATTCTAAAACTCGAAGTATTTGCTGAGACAAGCTGCTAATAAAACAACTGCGACAAGTGCTTCACGAAAGTTAATCATTGTATCATAGGAAAAACAAGACAAATATGAGATATCATGAACCATCACTGGGATCGGCCTATCCCACATTCTTAAATATAAAATTTGAATGCCAGGTGATCATGTACGATTGCAGAAAAAAGTAGTGTAAAGAATTAAAGCGTTAAATAGTTGCAGAATATGCTAGCATATACCTGTTTTCTGTCAGGAAAAGGCTTTTGATAGCTCAAAAATAAATGTTTGTCATTCCACAAAAACGAGAGCTAATGCAAGTAAGTACATTATTTCTCTTACCACTCTTTAATCCGGATACTGGTTGAATGGAAAGAAAGCAGTAGAGAATACTTCATAGAAATGTTGCTCAAAAAGATAAGATAAAACAGATGATATAGTTCCTGTCGCTGATATCGTAAGTAGAAACAAAGGGACAATGATCCCCCCTTTTTGAAAGCCAGACATCTTTGTTTTATATGTTCATATCGTCTTACATTTACGCTAACAAAGAACCCAACGCCAATGGATGCTAATTCTTGTAATCATAAAACGGTATAAGGACCCTTCCAGTCGAAGAAGCGGAGGATCCTCAGCACTAATCCATTTTCTCAAATGTGTTTCATTCAGGTCGGTTGGACATAAGATGTCGGGCGTGATTTGTTTGTTTTGTTCTTGAGTATTCGTTATTAATTTGTTGTATCGATGTCATATTTGCAAGTTCGTTGTTGTATTAATAAATTTATCGTAATAAAAGGTTTAGTTACCCAAGTTTGAGGTACTGTCCACTAAAGAAGCAGAAAGAACCCTCGGTTTTGTCACGGTTGAAGAAAATCGGCAACAATTCCCCACATTAAAAGCTCTTCGGGAAACGACCGAAATCTCGGTAGTTGAGGAGGGAAGTTGTCGCAGTGAATGCTTCCGAATCAAATCATGAAGCCAACCGGAAGTCTCGTCTTTACCGAAGTGACCGCCGAACTTGAAACACTAATAGCAAATATTCATTTTAAATTGGAGGCTAGCATGAAAAAGCATGAATAATAGAAAGGTACGAAATTCCTTTTTTTTAAAATTTCTTCGGCTCCAAAGTATCGCATCACCATGACCTGCATCAGTGAGAACAGGTTGCTCGTAAGGGAGTTTGTGGCGATGAAATAAGCAGTGGAGTATATTACTTCCCAATGATATAACAAATACAGTTCTTCGTCAACCATAAGGAATACATCATGATGGTTTAAATCAGTCAAGTCGATAGCATGCGAGACATAGATATTGTGTCCTGTTCAAGATACTCAGAATTGAAAAACTATTCGGTCACTGTTATGCGGATATGTGGGGATGAATATTCATGTAGACATATTTTTAATCCAAATCAAAGGTAGTAAGTTGCAAAAGGGAACTCTAATAAAGAAGTATCAAAGTTCTGATTGTAGCCAATGCTGAGTTGTCGTCTAAGACTTTATCAGGTCTTCGCAGAAACACTATGCAATTTTGATATGCCCATAAAGCTAAAGGAAAAAAATACCCAATGATGCAAGGCAGCTATGCAGAGAAATTTTAAAAATGATTGAAAAATTTTGCGCTATATCCATTCTTCGCATTGATATTAGAAGAATCAGCCAGAAATTGATAAAAAATCAAAGAGGAAAAGAAAAACTGATGAGTGAACAGTATTAGGAATACGATTAAATTTATTACAACATAACAA